ATATATATATATATATATATATATATATATATATATATATATATATATATATATGTATACAATATATGTATATACATATAAAATATAACAGCACGTACGTTTAATGAATGAGTGAATATGGGATTAGTGGTGTATAAATAGGCTACGAATGTTTAAACATTTTTGTGAACCTTGAAGATATTTAAATTAGAGAGTAAACTCATTATGATATTATTAGGGGAAAGAAATCTTTGCATAAATATTCGCAGTCTACTAATAGAAAATAGAGTAAATTATTAAAATATATTAAATTATTAAATAGTATTATATTTAAGTATTAGCACGTGTTTGTCGGTGAAAGTAGACACTGACAAGATATTTATCTGTTTATTTAATCACAAGAGTTGTTGCTAAAGAATAAATAGCAAAGGAAAGAAAAACAATACTAAGCAGGCTAACAAACTATCGATGCCCACACACTCCTATTTCCGGTGCAAAATTACGCAAACGAATAAAACCAGGGACCACAACTGTTATAATTCAAATTAAAGAAATTATACTATAAACATTCATATTTTAATTTTAATTTAAACGAATTTGGTTAAGAATAATTATTATAAATAATTGAGATTTTTTTTTTCGTTACTGATAATCATTGGCGGTGAAAATGATTTCCTTCTAATTATAATTTTAATAAAAATTGTTGAATTATTACTAGACATTCGTCTAAAGTAAGCAAAAAGTATCTTCACCACCGATGACTAGAAGGTTGCTGATAATAAAAAAAATTTTAATCATTCGTAAGTAGTCATTAAAATTACCATTCTTCGGTCATTTAAGTTTCCGAAAAAGTCTCTTTGAACAAAGATTAACTAGCGACTTGTTTTCATGAAGATTGAAAAAAAAGAAAAAACTATTATCTTTGGTCCCTGAATGAAACGCATCTTTTTCTTTTTTTTTTTTTTTTTTTCTTTGAGACTGATTTATCGAGGACCCATGTAGTATGGGGGTTGCGTCATGGACGCGGAAATATATGGATAAAAGGAGTGGGTCGAGACTCCTTGCGTTTGATACTCGTTTTCTTCGTGCACGGTGTATCCTTCGGGAGCGGAGTAATACTGGCTGTGTACGCACGCGTACGATTTGCTCGGGCTGGTAACGTCCGTGGGATATTTTAGGGGATTCTCCGGGTATTTGGGCAGATCGTAAGGCTTTGCCTGTAACTCGGAATACTTTGGAATCGTCTCGTGGTATTTCGCGGCGGCGGATACCTCGTGATACTTGACCGTTTCGTAGCACTTCGCGTCCACGTAGCTTTTCGTTGCTACGTTCGATTCGTATCTCATAGCGTCGTACGGTTTACTTTCTACGATCGAATGATCGGCCGGGTATTTGCCGGATTCGGTGGTCCAGGCCGATCTCGAGAGATCGTAGCTGGCTTTGCTATCGTGATAAGTTGGCCTGTCGTACGTTTTGATCCCGGTGTCTGGGTACAGGCGAGGATAGGTGCAGTCGGATGAATTGGTCGAGTCCACCGACGTGCCTGGAGAGGACAGGGTAGCCCGATGCATCACGATGCCCATCTGTTCCTCGGTTTTCGGTTTTCGTCGACGCGGTTGGTACTGTAATTACGATGCATTTTACGATTTAACTTTAGGCGAGACCGGGCAGCAGAACTAGAACAACCATTTTTAGAACGATCGCCGACAGTCACCTTGTAATGCGGATGTTGCTTTTTGTGCGCGTTCCTCAGCCTCTCAGCTTCCTCTATGAACGGCTGTTTCTCACCGTCGCTTAGAATTCTGTTACATTCGCTAGGGTTAACCTTTAATACGCGACGTTGCGATTTATGCACTTTAGTGCGATTAAATAGAAACTGTATTCTATAGATAATGTCTGGTAGTTTTAATACTTCTTCAGACTATTCTTACGTACAAGTCTACCATGTTTCATCGATCACTGTACTAAAAGTATATTACAGTGCCAAGTTCATTGACAAATTGCAAACTTTATTAAATTTTTTCTACCTTTACAATTCGAAATTTGGCAGACTGATTTGCAAGGATGGTAGTCTAGTAGAAGCGATTCACAAAGTTTCGAGTAATTGATAGAGTCTTTTTTTTTTTGATATCATAACGTAAAATACCTCCACAGTTTTCCTAATGTTTTCGAAAGTTCGGCATTGTGAAGTTGTGGATATTGGTCCGCCAATCTACGTCTGGCCGCTTGAGCCCAAACCATAAAAGCATTCATTGGACGTTTTACGTGAGCGCTTCTTCGTCCTCCTGCGCGAGAAGTTACCGGGAGCAAGGTCCAGTCGTAGCCTGAAAAACAAAAAAAAAAAAAAAAAATAAATAAATCATTCGCTTTGAAACATTTTTCACTGTGCCATAATTAAATGGAAATACTCGTTGGTGTATATCTAAAATTAAACATTGACTCATTTTCAAATAAATGAGATATTTTTTTGTTCATTTTATCAAAAAAACGTTTCTCTTTTTTCTTTTTATAGAAATTTCCCGACATTGCAAGTGGTAGGAGCAGCGAATATTCAGAAAGAGAGGAAACGGCATCGTGTTTAGTTGGAACGTAGACCGGAAGTTGCATAGCCTATCTTTGCGCGGAATTGGATCGTAAAGAAACGGTAGAGATAAAATGACACCTGTATCCCTTAGGAGTATTCTAATCTCTGCTTGACCAAACGGAGAACATTTTTAGCGCGTGTTCCCCATTTCTTTCGCACGTTTTTCGCAACGTTCGATCGTTCGCAGCGTAAACGAACGCAGCTTCAGGCAGAAAGGTTCTACAAGTCGAGAGAAAACGAACGAGAAATTCCGAACGCGGTGGTCTTTATCTGTCGATCATTCGTTCGCATTAAGAGACTAATTATATTATTACCGACTTCCTCTCGGTATCCCCTAACGAACGGTACTCCAGCTGAAGAAACGTTATTTGGGTCGCCACGAGTTTTCCATTCCAAGAAATCTCGTCGTGTATCCGATATGCATCGTGTACATTTCGAATACGCTTCGTTCATCGGTCGCGTGCCATTTTCTTTACATTATCGATATGCCTGCTGTATACATACGGAGGTGGAGTTATTTGAGTCAGCTAAGATACAACATCTTCAGATTCAGCCTTGAACTTTGTACAAAATAATCAAGCTTATTGTTAAACCATGGATGTTCGTGCAACTTAAAAGAACAAAGAAGTTCAGAATATACGAAAAGTAGTAAAGTTATATAAACATATGAAAGTGAAGGTAGTCATTGTATTATCAGTGGAACAGATTCCCATTTAGTTTCTGTTCTCTTACGGGTATCCATACTTTATTTATTGCATAAATTTTGCGCACACATTATTAGCTGACTTTTGATTATTGAATATTTCAAGTAAGAATGTTGAATTAATTTCGTGAGTTATTAATCTTTATTTTCAAGCCGCATCGATGATTGAGGGAAAGAGGTAAAAAGGTAAGAAGAAAGGTTAAAGGAAAGGAAGATGCACGTGGTGAAATGTCACCAAACTGTAGAGGAGGATTCCATGGTAGCTAATTACCATAAGGATACGGTTCACCGATGCGGTCCCTCTGTCGGCTCCTTTAACGCCCTCTGGAGGTCGTCCCGCTGCTGCCTTCTCCGATAGCAACGAGAACAATTTCCATGGAAATTTGGAAGGGCTTGCGCCCTAGAAAACGACGGGAATAGAAAAAGTTTCGCGCGAAGAATATACACGACTTGGCAAGCTAATGTGTTTCGTTTCTAATCGCGCGTGTTCGACTTTGTCATCTTCGAGGCTCGGCCAGCGCAACCGTGAACGTTTATCGGTGGTTGAGAAACCGTTTTCGAGAAATGTCGCGCGTTCTTAAGATCGAGAGGGGAGACACACACATACACACACACATACGTGCTTTCGAAATACGCAAAGATAGCAGAGATAGAGAAGATAGAAACAGAGTAGAATTGATTAATCGAAAGGGGAGCAGGTTGACCAAGAACTTTTGTACTTTCCCGAAGGATGAATGGCTGCACTGGGGAGACGGAGAATATGGTTCATAATAAGGGATTGTAACCCGCTGAATGAACCGGTGTGTTTCGGTATCTTGGTCGTCAATGCCGACCTGTCGTCGACTCTTGCTACATTAACTACTGTACAAATCAGCTCCCATTACTGCGATGATAGTCTCGTTAACAAGACTAAACCGCTGAACGCATCGTCACCTTCGACGACTGACGAGAGCGTGTTTGTTTCGCCACGCTCCGAATCGATACGTCGATCGATTAAATCCACGATATTGTCGTTCCCTTGCGCGACGTCTTGCGAGGATACTAGAAATATTTCGTCGAACCTTCCATTGGATATCGAGTAACCATTGAGTAATCGCTTCTTGTACCAAGAATATGGCACGTACATATATTTGGCTTGATTACGCGTTGAGTGGAAGACGAATAAAACGGTTGAACGATTAGAGGACGATGAATTCGACGTGTCTCATTCGAAGATCCGTCCTCTGCCATCTCGAAACGCTACGTTCGGAGAACGCGGAGTTCCAACGAGACGCCTCGTAAATCATGCCGAGCACCCATTACAACTGGCTCTTCTTGGCCCCCTCCCTCCCCACCTTCACCCGTGTTCCGTCTTAGGTACCCTCTCGAGTCGATGTTTCAGATTTAATTTCGTACGAACATAATTAGTGTCGGTGGCAAACGTTCAGAGCGGTTTCGCTCTGTTCGCAGCACCTGCCGCCCGAATCTTCCTCGAAATCGTCTTTTCGCGGCTTTCGATCCTCGGTTCCTCTCACCCCGTCATGGCTCCTCCTCCTTTTCCACATCTCTTCCATCATGCTCACCCATATTCTCGCTCCATTCCGCGAGTATCACGGGGATAAATCTGAGGGAGCCGAGTTTCATCGCCAATTAAAGTGTCCTTAAACGCGAGATGGCCGACAACCGAAAATGAAACGATTCGCATTGGTGGATGCTTTGATCTATTTTATTTTACATTGTTCTCGCTGTTCCGATTCGGTGGGCGCAAGTACTCGGTTTCTAATATATTCTACGTATTCTTCATTTAAATTCTATGGTTTTGATGTGTTTTTTCAATTAATTAATATCTCTTGGAAGGAATTGAAAGGATTTTTTTATTCAAACTTACTCAGGTAACTCTCGAAACGAAATTTTTACCAGAGGACTCGAGATATTTTTTGCAAATTTCTACTCTCTACATCCTTGTTAGTCGAATCGTTTGATTTCAATTCGTCAGATCGAGTAGTATATAAATTCATTCATTCATTTGAAACATATAGGTGCATTTACATTTTTTTTTCCCCCTATTGTACATCCACATGTAATATTTTCAAAATCTGATACTATATCTGACACTATCCAATGCTATTTTTCAGGCTATCGTTCAGTTTGAAAGAAAAAAAAAAACAGAAGAAATAAAGCCAAGAGGAGAGAGATATTCTTAATCCTAGTAAAAAAGAAAAGGGTCGTCGAAAATTTTCAAACAGAAGCGAACCTTGAAGTAGCTTGCCCACCGCATCGTCTAAGGAACTGGTGCATTGCTCGTTGCTGCATTGTTCGCTGCTCGACGGTCCAGCTTCCGTTTCCGTCGCAGCAGACGATAAGCCGCTATCTTGGTGAGCTTCCATCTTCCTAGATGTTACTTCTAATTAATTATCGTAGATATTCACATTCGTGATATCTTCTTCCTTGTCGAACACCGTCTCTCTTCTTCCTGGTAAAAACACGATCGGTCGCGTTCGCTCGCGAGCAAACGAATTTCACTGACAATGAAACATCGAGCTCGTCGATCTGTCCGCCGCTTTATCCCGTGCACTCTGTTCTACCTTCACGACGTAAAACGCGTCGAGAGGGGCATCGCAAAGAAACCAGGAAGGAAAGCGAACGAGAAGAAAGCTGGACAATTAATCCGAGATTATCGTTTCGTGATTTATCATAAAGCGACCCTTCTACTTCCTCGTGGCTCGCGTATCGGCGTCGCATCGATTTCCGCCGCTCGTTCAACGACAGACCCTTTCCTCCTCTTATCTCACTCGATAAACATCGCGTTCACGCGTTTCGGCACGTTCACGGCTCGATTGATTCCTCTCCTCTGCAATTGGCTCGCACTGGAGTCGCAACGTCGCGAATTTCAACTTTCCCAAGACTCCAATTTGTGGTAGTTCTCTCGTCGATGTCGACGAAAGGGGAAAAGAAAAGACGTCGTGAGGAACAGCACTCGCGATGACGACGGTTGAAGGAAAGTCCGATAACCGACCGACTGACTGACGGACTGACTAGAAGAGAAGAAAGACGAACACGGATCGACGAGGACCGTGAAGGTTCATTCAGCGAGCACCGCACAGGTTGGTCCGTACGAAAGAGGCAGAAACGACGAGCACACGTCTGGCACACGCACCAAACGTTGGATGGTAGATCGCGGAGGCGGTTCCGTGGACCACCTCTACGTCTGGTGGGGGATATCTAGGATCTTGTTCCTTTTCTGTTCCTCTTCTCGGCTCTGACTCCTCGACCTCTCGCGGATCCTTCACGCGTTCATCCTGCGTGTTCGGCAATCAGTCGCGAAACGAAATTCGCTTCGTTCTGGAATTCCCAACCACGATTCCATTGTTCGACCGAATTAGAACTTTTTCGCGGCTTGTCGGGCGTTTCACGTGCCTGAAAACCGACTTTTGCGTCGGCTTTCCGCTGATTCTTCTTCTCAAGCAAACAGACGTTTCTCTTCTCTCTATTTCTCTCTCTTTCTCTCTCTCCCTTTCTCTCTTTCTCTCTCTTTCTTTCTTTGTAGATCGAAATAATCGCATTTGTAAATTCTCTGTCCCGTAGCAGTTGCCCGCGAGCCGTATAATTAGATCGCTGCGAACGTGACTTCACGTTTTTGCGAGCCAGATTGAGGAGAAAAAAGAAGAAGGCTCATCGAGAAGAGGAGAAACACGTCGAGGAACATGGTGAACGTACGTAAATCCACGGGCGAGTCGAGACTTCTTCTTTTCGTTGGGCTGCTGCACGAGGAATCATCGGTTGACAGTCCGCGTCTTTCTCGGCGTGCCTAATTATACAACGAATTTAATGAATGAGTGAGCTAGCAAAGACAGTGGCCCATACATGAGCATATATAAACCACGGTCAATGCCGTGTAGCGGCTTTTGTGCGAGATCAAAGGAGGTATCTTGCTCGCACTTTGCAGGATTAACTTGCTGGTGGTGCGTAAACGCGCACTCAGCCCCTCGGAAACGCTCGAGACACTTGGGCGGATTACGGATTGCTACGTTTTTATCCCAATGTCGACGCGAGTCTATTGGCAAGGGAAACGCGCGCTCTGCTGCCCCTTAACGAACGAGCTTTCTTTCTCTTTTTGTCTTTCTCGTACGTAGTACTCTTGCAATTAGTTGGAAAAAAAGATGGCGAGGTTGTAAAATAAAGCGCTGAATAGAGGTCGTCGATTGAGCTAGGATCGTACAAATTTTGCACGTAAGTACGTTCATTTAAAATAATTCTAATTGTGCCCGAATGATTTTTAATAGATGCGAGAATATTTAAGTCCGCCAGCTGTGGCAAGAGATTGAAAATTTAAGATTTTACATGAAAAGGTTGAAAAGAATGAAACCAGAGTTAGAAAGTATCTAGACTATGAGAACTGAACGGCATAAACCTATTGAGTGACCTAATATAATCGTTGGCACTTCAACGGTGAGTCATAAAATCAGAGCTTCCAGAATATGAATTACAAATGAGTTGTAATTATTCTTCTTTTTAAGTAGGCGATCTTTTTAGAAGAGAAAGATTTTGGATTCAAACTAATTTAATTTATTTATCCACAGGTCGAAGCTCATAAAAGATTGGGATCATCAACTGTGTAGTAACAATAGTAAAATCACTACTATTTGTCAACTTTATAAAGAAAACGAGAGTATGTGCACGTTGAATTTCTACATTACTTGATTACAATCATCTGTTCTTATTCCTTTATGTTATGTTATCAACACATTCAGCAATCGGGATCAAAATGAGCCTCAAGATCTTCACGACTGTGAATTGATTGCTACAATCATCGAGAATTGCAAAATCAATTGTTACGATCGTCGAAAATTGCAAACTCCAAACACCGATCAATTTTACGATCTCATCATGCTCTTTTCATCAAAAGTACAATTATCGTTGGCGAAACAAAGTTCAGCCTATTTTCTTATGAAAACGGGCTCGTCCTGTTCTCGACGAACATCGCTGCTTACCAATCGTTCGTCGTAGCAATCGTACGTTCTCGATCTCCGATTCGTGGTGCACGCGCGGCATTACGCGGTTGCAACCGAATAGCGATTCAAATTTAGCCGACCGCGAACAATAATATTGATTTCAGCAAGCCGGAATTTTGCTCTTCCTGGGATAAACATCCCGATGCGCACGTGGCGCCAATATGTGCTTTCGTTCTCTCTTGGTATACGCGAGAGGAGAATTCGTTTCAGGGCCGTTCAGGGAAACACGCGCCACGATTTCTACGAACAACGAGTCCTTCCTATTCAAACCGGGTCTTGTCCTTACCCCGATGCGACTAAACCAATTTTTACTCCGCTTTCGCGACGATGTTTGCTCCAATTGATGCGTTACCAATGGAGCTGATCTACGAGCGACGACGAGACACGTGCAATTCTTCGTCGTCGTCGTAGGTCGACATTTTGTCAAATACCTACGACATGGCGATTAGGTAATAAAGAGCAGTGACGGCACGTGGTGACTTGGTAGATTGAAAGAAATCTGGAGTGAGATGGAAGCGAGGGGAGACGCAAAGAAGACAGAGAGGCAGAGAACGAAAAGCGTGGCAGATATAAAATAATGATTTCACCGATTCCCGGGGGTCCTGGATCGGAGTTGTGTCGGACACTTGAAAGGATACGCGGGCCCCCTGGAAGAGGGGGCCGCAGGAGACGATGGGGTACCCGACACATGTAGCCCCCCGGGTGGCGAGCTCCGCAACTCTCGGACCCCCAACGGTGACACGAGCTACGTTACATTCTGCACCGTCATCGAACTGGCACAATGTCATCGTGTACCCGCGTAAGGCTGGTCGCGCGACGCTGCTCCAGGTTGCCAGTTGGATTTCCTGGCTCCGAAAAAGGGGCTCGTCGGCCTAGAAGGGAATCTTTAGTCGCGCGACGAGAGTATGGACGTGAGCAGCGGACGTGACGGGACCACGACCGTGGACGAACGCAACCATCGGCACGATCGCACTTGGTGCATCGCCAGGAAAATTGCACGCTCCTCCTCGTGACGTGCTTATTGCCAGCGGCTGGCGGACCAATCGGCTTGGCTGCGTGGGAGGAACGAAGAAACGAGGTAAACGAGGGGAAGATAGAGAGAGGCAGAAAGAGGGAGAGGGAGAGAAAGAGAGAGAGGGAGAGGGAGAGAGAGAGAGAGAGAGAGGAGAAGAGAAAGGAACGGAGAAGTAGGTGGAACAAGAAGAAACCCGATTGGTCCTGCTCCCAGAGGGTATCGTAGCCATAGAGACTCTCGTCCACGAAGAGCTGAAGAGAGAGATGAAGAAAGAGAGAGAGAGAGAGAGAGAGAGAGAGAGAGAGAGAGAGAGAGAGAGAGAGAGAGAGAGAGAGAGAGACAAAACCGAAATAAACTAGAGGATTTTTGGAGGGGCTGACAGAGTCGGTAGAGAAACGAAACGGTCGAATTTAATTCCTCGACTGGTCGTCTGCCGAAGGCGACAGGACCTGAAGCATTTTCCCTGTCGAATAAAATGCTATAAGCGAGATATGAGCGCTCCCTTTCCTCTCGACACCGGGCGCTCCCTTTCCTCGCAGAGCAACAAGTGTTAGCGGCTCTTCGGCCCGTCGCTCCGCCCCCAACGAACAGCCGCTGCCGAAGCGATCGGTGGAAAGTGCCCCGAGGCGATTCAACCACCTCACTCGAGCGTCGATCGCGCAAGCAACTGGAAATCTTTGTCCAATACTCCTGGCTTTTTCACTCCAGTGTCTCTTCGTTCCGTTTGCTTTTGCCGCCCTGCCGAGAGACGGAGCACGATGTTTATATGGTGAACGCGCGATCCTGACACGCCGCCACCGAGAGTGATCGCTTTCCACGACTCCGCCGCGGCGACGTACAGTGACAGGAGTGTCGCTCGCTTGTTTGTGCTCGGAGGTACGGTGAAAACCTGCTGGCCGGTTTGACAGAAGACAGCTGGTGCCTCGGTGGAGAAGGATATCGAGGGCGAATTTTCACGCAAATTACGCGAGCATCGGACGATTGAACCCGTACAAGTGAATAATAAACTCGTGCACCGGTGGAGAACGATCCGTGGTCGCGTTTTTTTGAAGATTGTGTGTCGTCAAGATCGTGAATCGGTGGCAATCGGAGAACGGTCTCGACTGTTTCGAGGGAATCGGAAGCGAGCGTCGGATCGCGAGTAGAAGCGAGGCTATCGGAGGTATTTCGGCGATAGAAGGAATTCCGAGAAGTGACGGGAGGATAAGTTAGAGGATCGAGGCCGAGAAATCGGGGAGCACGCAGCGTTCAGCGTGAACTCGTGCGTTCTCGTCGATCATCCGTAGTCGTAAAGAGAGAGAGAGAGAGAGAGAAGAAGAAGAAGAAGAAGAAGAAGATAGGAGAATCGTGGCTGATAGTGGAAACGAAGGGGAAAAAGACGAGTGAAACGGGCCGATACACAAAGAGAAGAAGGAAGAAGAAGAAGAGGAAGAAGAAGAAGGAGAGGAAGAAGAAGAACAGATAGATAGAGAATTGCCGTGGCTCGAGTCGAGGCGAAGAGAAAAAAAGAATCTATTGGAGGAGATAGGCCGAGACCTCGGCGAGTCGCCGACGGCTTGGCATGCATGCTCGTTGCCATCTCTCTCGGCTCGTAATCGAGTGCGAAATTAATTAAACGTGACAAACGTGCGCGCCGCGCTCCGATACCGAACGATTCCCTCTCGCGTCGGAGAGGCGAGATAAAAGAGGAGTAACAGAGCCGAGATCGCCGATACAGCCAGCTGAGACAGAGCCGCGAGAAACGGAAGTGACGTGTTGCCGCTATGATAAAATAATTGCAATTCAATCGATGAACCGTTGCACGTTCTCTGTCGAACGATGAACGCTCGTTGCGGCCGATAAATTCGTGGATTTCGTCGTTTCTCTCTCTCTCTCTCTTTGCATTCAGCGATCGAGAAGAAGAAAATCGGAGGGGGAAGATGAACGACATCATGGAAGAGGCATCGGGTTCGATCTCGTCGAGCAACGCCGCTACCAATCCCGCCAACTCCAGCAGCCCTATCGCGAGCAACGGCAATGGGAACAACAACGCGGGCAATAATGGGAAAGCGTCGGCTGTCACGGCCGCGGTCGCCGCGAACGGCGGCGAACGAATCAGTGCAGCGGTGACCAAAGTTCTTCAGGGATACGATTGGACCCTGGTACCTGTTGCTACCAAGTGAGTCTTTACGTTCGACGGTTATATTTAACGCCTATTTTCAATGTGACGACTCTTAAACAGGGAGAGAGCGGGAGAGTTTCCCCGTTTCGTCTTAAACACGCGAAAGCTTCGCTGTAGTCTCGGAGTCGATATTTAGCAGGCGTCGTTAGCGGCCGCGAAGACGTGTTCTTAACGCCGTAAGAGTTTAACGCGTAGCGAGAAAGAAAAAAAAAAAAAAAGAACGAAAAAGATGAAGAGGGAGAGGAAAAGAGCGTATGTGTGTGTGTGTGTGTATGTGAGAGAGAGAGAGAGAGAGAGGGTGTAAACGCGCGCGGTCTAAGCTTTAAAAATACGTAACGCTAACTTAATTATGACGCACTGGTTTCCTCGGCTTGGGAAACGGCTGGTGGAAATGTGTCCTCGGCTGCCAATTAACGCAAATTAGCTAATTAATGCCCGATCTCGTTGCCTGTCTCTCCTCTCTATTTCTGTCCGTCGCGTAACTCCGTCGATCGCGATTTGCGGGAAGATCGCAAAGGACATGAAGCGATAAGAAGAAATGGCGTTTTTTCTTTTCGTTTCGTTCGTTCGTATCTAAGAAGGGGACGACGAATTAATGGTCGGTCTCTCGTTGCGCCATACTCGACGATCGTTACGATTCGATAAAATCGAAACGCGGATCATGAAGGAGTGACGTAATCCTTTCGTCGATGGCCAATGGGTGGATTCATTATTCCAATGCGACGGCATTTAAACGCATTTAACGCGAGCTCTTCGTTCGAACAGTTTATATCCAGGCATAGGTGTGCAGAGTCAGCTCACGGAAAATTTCCTCGGGTTACGGTTGAAATCTCCGAGCGGTGTATCGCTATGCACGACGCGCTTATCGCGCTAACCCTCAATTACTACGGGGTTATCTCGGGGTAGCTAAAGGGGGTACGATGTTTATTTCCAACGATAGGGCCCGATAAAATCGACTGGTTTTAATTCCCATGAAATCCATGAGAATGCACTCGGAACTGTCGCGCGTTTCCTCTTCCCTTCTCTCCTTTCCTCCTAAACGACTTATCGTTTGAGCTGTAGCTCGTCTACGCTCTGAAAGTCGCGTGTAGCATTTTTATGTTTGAAACGCGAGTTTCTTTGCGTAGAAACGAAGAAGAAGCAAGGAAACGCGCAGCCCTTGACTGTTTTCAATATTATCTTACGGCTTGTCGAGAGTTGGTTCATCGTGACATAACCCTGAAAGCACGAATTTCTTTTTGTCACCTCTCGCAACGGAAGATTGGAAAAATCTCGGAGGAGACGAAAGTGCAAGTACGCCAAAAATCCACCGTCGTCGAAAGCTCGTTTTTTTTTCGAGCGACAAGTATTTCGCGACGGTTTCGACACGTTGGAACACTAAATTACGCAAACGAGAGACAGAAAAAAGATCGGTAAGAAGAGAAGGAAGGAGCGTTGCAGTTGCAGCGTCGTTGCCACGCCTACGCCGTGGTAGCCCGCGAAACCGCGTAAACGAGGTGTAAAGACTCGGAGATTTTTTGCGTATCTAGGTAAACCGCGTATAGCGTAGCGACTCGCGACTCCTGTGAAAACCCTTGTTAGTGGACCGGCGCTAATTACCAACGGCTCCTCGGGTTTACTCACGGATTTAACGCCCCTCTTATTTCAAAGAGGCCGAAATATATACGAGCCTCCTTTCTCAAATTCTTTCCCCGGCTGCTGCCTCTTCTTCCCATGTTCTCTCTCTCTGTGGAGCGAGCGAGCTTCTGTTTCTGCGTGACACTGCGGGGCCTTCTCTCGAAACGGGTTGCCTCCGTGGTTTTAAAAGTCTCACTCACCTTCGACGATGGTAGAGACGATGGCAGCAGCATCCCGTTGCTCTTACAGTTGCGAGCGTATCTCGTCGAAGCTTCGGTTGGTTCCCTTCGTTCCTTCTCCTAGGCGGGGTCTTTCGACCCGGTCTGGGGTTTTTGGCCCAGGCGTAAGGTCCTCGAACGAGGCTCGATTAATCCCAGAAAGAAAACAGCGCGCGCGCGAGAGAGAAGGGCCTGTACGGCAATCACGTCAGTCACGTCAGTCGATCCCCGGGCTTTCGACGAGGCGAACGGTTTTATGAAGTCATCTTCTAGGAAAGAAAGGGATACGTCCATTCCTGCTCGTCACCCGTTGGCAGCACCGGTGTTATTTTAAGGCCGGTTTTAAGCGTGCCGCGTTCCGCAGGATGACCCCGGGGGTGGTAGCTTGGTAGAAAACTCTCCTCGAGGACACGGAGGGATACAAGGTCTCTCGACGCGAGAACAGCCTCTGGTTATAACCTTCTTAAAACCGGTGTCACCGGATCGATATATTTTCGAGAATTTCCTTCAAACTTTCCTCTGCTCCCCGTAATCCTTTCCTGTCGTCTCGTAGCGTCTGGACGATTTTCTTAGAATTGACGATCGTGCCTCTCGAACGATTCTTTTTAGGAATCGAGCAATTCGAGCAACAAGAAGACAGTTCCAATATTTATTAATTTAAATAGTTTGTCAAGTTGTGTCTATTGGAAGGGAAAGAAAGATACTCCAATTAAGGATGGATACTCCAATTATTTAAATTTAATTTGCAAAAGTAAGATGCTGAACTTCTAAGAAACTGCTTCGTTAGAAAATAATAGTGTGTACAAATAGCTTTGTGTGAATATTATGTATTTATATCTCGAATATAATATATAATATTCACACAAAGTCGATATATATATATATATATATATATATATTATATTATATATATTTATATCTCGAATATAATATATATATATATATATATATACATATCGACGCTGAACCTATAGCACATTAAAGAGCCCGTACTTGGGTTTTCCTGACTCGAACGAATTACTGGAAAAGGGAAACTGCCTCTTTATATTTAACGTCGAAAGTCAACCGATAGTCTACATTTCATTTTCTGTCCCTCTCGACGCGCGTTGCATTTGAAGAAAACAATTGTTTCCAATGAAGATAATGTCCTCGAATTGCAGGGGTTCCAGCGACAAAAGAGCGGCCCACGTGAAAAGACCGATGAACGCGTTCATGGTGTGGGCTCAGGCTGCGAGGAGGATACTCGCCGATCAGTATCCGCAACTTCACAACGCCGAGCTGTCCAAGACTCTGGGGAAACTTTGGCGGTGAGTGTTCAACAATAATAAGCTAGTAGCAGCTACTTGGTGGTTGACGAGCGACGAGGACGATTTCTCGAGGAACTCGATTTTCGAAGGCTGAAAGCCAACGGTCCACGCGACCACTTGTTGCCTCTCGTTCTATTTTTACACGCGATTTGGCGAGCGAGCATTTTTTTACGGGACGCATGCCGAACATACTCTTACCACGTGGCGCCGAGGCTGCACGTGGTACGATCGTTCCCGGTTGACAACCGCGCGAACCACGGAACCCCGTTGTAAACGGGTCAACGTTTGTCAAAACCGGAGCTGGAGCCGGAGTCAGGGCTCGTTCTCCTCCTGTAGTCTAGTTTTTAGTAGGTACTTAGAAACGACATAGAGAGATTATAAACGGGTGAACGTGGCAGGTCACGTTTCTTACTTTTTGTAGGGAATTTTTCAATTTTCTTTTTTTTTTTTCTTTTAATGTTAGACTTAACATTCCAACTTAAAATTTGTTTCCAATTTACTTTAATGCTGACTTGTTTATCCAATCCAATTTATTTTTAAATGTCACATGTTTCATATTATAATCTCTCTATCGTTTTTATCTACCGTACGATGAGATTTCCGGGACGATCAAAATCGAGAATAAGGGAAACGATACCTGGCTAGATTTCGAATGTAATTTTCTACATAGGTAATTGTACCAAATGACAAGTGGCGCGTGACCATCGTTCGATCGATGGACAACGCCAGGGAAGAGAAAATGGTATACCTCTCGTTGTGAAAGTCGCGGGAAGGGAACGATATTCCATTTCCTGATCGAGGACTAACGAGATTGCCTGGTGGGTCGCGCGAGCGAGGATCACAGGACTTCGCCGACCGCGATCGATCAGAACCCCTGTGGTGAATCATTTTACAATACCGTTCGATCGCGATCCCGATCACAGATACACTCTCGCGTATCTCTGTCTTGACGTCAAAATAGAAGCAGAGACACGACCGATCTCTAGTTTTGCATTGTACGTTTATTTGGAAAGATATTTCACTCCAGCGAAATGTACCTGTTGCTCGATTAATTTCTTTTTCATGGTGGACAAAGTTATAAAATTGAAATCTTAAACTTCGTCGAGAGTGTCTAATCGAGATCGTCGAGGTAAGAAATTAGAAGCAACCCGACGTTGGATTATTTGCGGAAAGAAACGACTTGGCGAGCTACTATCGATATATTTACGGGGGGGGCCAGGTGTAGGCGTCGGAAATAAATCTTGTCCTTTTTTTTTTTTTTTTCTTCCGGCTCGAAAGGTATCGCGTTCGAATATTAGACACGGTGTTTGTCGACAAAATGAAAACAGATAGGCTCGGTTCATCCTTGGCGCGTGCTAACAGCTGCCGGCCGGTTCCTGCCTCAGATAAACGGCCCCCAAGAATCACAATAAACTCCTTGTCCCCGTCAGGTGAATTTTTCCGAACCTGCCCCTTCGTTGCCTCGACGCCTCGAGCGTGCAAATAACACCCGTGACGAACAGGTAAATGCATCTTATCTGACGGAAGCAACGTCTCGATTTTGCCACGGTTTCGCTTCACCCTCCCGATTCACGCGTCCTCCTCGAGCCTCGTACGTCGTCGTCGTCGTCGGCTCGCCTATGACCACGACGACGTAGCCGTGACTCCGTTTCATCGCGATGTTTACGTTACGGTGTCAGGCACACATATCGGCACGATGCACCGCTGATGATACGTGTATAATCGCACGGCGAGAGAGACAGATCCGAATTAGCTAACCGCGCGTTGCATCTGGCGAAGGAAAAAAGAGAGGTTGCGACGGATCGCCGTCGTCAAGTCCTGCCAACCAGAAAGAAAAAAAAACCCTCCAAGGCAAAGTCCATTGACCAGATGGAGATTCTCTCTTCTCTCTTTCCCAGTGGACGACTCGTCGTGGTGATACGGCTCGTTATTTTGGGAAGACGAGTTAACTCGCCATTTGTCAATCTATTTAGCTAATGTCCGTTCGTTTCCCGATAGAGAGGGTGAAAAAGATGGCTTTAAATTCTCTCCACTTTCTTTGTTCATCTTCCTCAATTTCTTTATTGAAGACTTGGAAATCGATTTAAATTCCAAAGTCGTCGAAATTTTGTCATTACGAAAATTTCTGGGTGTCAGAAAATGGCACGCTTGACACTCTTGCGCTGGCAACTGGTTCGCGGACCATAACGAGTGACCGAACCGTATACAATAATTCGTCGCTTTCTGTTTCTTTTGAACTCGTCGATATGATACCATTGGATAGAAATTATTAAGAAGTAATAAACGTATCATTTGTTTTGTCTGGGAGAGAATATTGCAATTTGGGACAAAAAAATTCTCGACGTGCGTGGCGCGCAAGAGGTTAAAGGCTCGCGTTACCTCCTTTTACTCCGTTCTAATCTCTCGTTCGGTCACCTTCAAAATTTGATACGAAAAGGACGAAGAGCGTGCTAGAATTCACGAGATCTCGCAGCCGAGACCGGAAAAGCTTATCGGTCTCGGGGCTTTACGAGCCCCAGTGGGAACATAAACACGAGGAATTAAAGACTAACACAAAACGAGACGAGACGAGACGAGACGAGACGAAACGAGACGAGACGAGCCGAGATTCGAGTCCGCGATGCAGTCGAACGTGAATCGCTCGAGTTCTCCTCGTATGCTGCTCCTCGTACACGCGTGTGTGCGTGAACTGCGCCCTTAAGATTCTACGCGGCGAGAAACATTAACCAGACCTCCCATTTCGACTCCTCGAGTGTATTACGCATGGTGATAGAAACGCTTTTCGTTCCAGCATCTTTCGAGCCGCGTGAATGCAAAGAATCGAATAGAGCGCGCGTGTGAACCGTGATGAAAATATCGCGAGTATATCCCCGTCGATTTTCTCTGATCTCTTGGTTCTTCTGACTGTCTGATCGCAGACTGCTGTCGGACAGCGACAAGAAACCATTTATCGAGGAGGCCGATCGTCTCCGCGTGATCCACAAACGCGAGCATCCGGACTACAAGTATCAGCCTCGTCGTCGGAAGCAGAACGGGCCGTCGGGCAGAGAGGGATCGCCGTCGAGGAATCAAAGCAACGTAACCTTCAACGTGTCCAGGTCGTTGAAACAGGAGGACGCGAGTCCTAGGGGCACACAGGGACCGAACTCGCCTCAGAGCGGGGTCAGTTCCTCACCTCCGACCACCCCCAATCAAGGGTTGTCGCCTCCCACTCCTCCCACTACCCCTCGCGGACAACATTACGCGAATCAGGTAAGGATATTTCGAAAAATGCACTCTTCGGGGTCGTGTTTTCGACCATCTGACTGATGAGAGATGAAATTTGGAGACACGCGTTTCAAAGTTGCACGAGATACACGAAAGACAAACAGATTTTACATAGAATGTGAGAACGATGGAAACTGGGACGAGAGGGGAATTTGATTCGCAGGGAAATCAACCGCAGCCAAATAGCACGATGTATCAGCAGGACTTGGCGATCGGTTCGTCGAGCGAGTCACCGCATCAACATCAGCCAGGAGTCGACTTCAGGTACATCGAGGTTGGGGATGGTCTGTCAATCGAGGAGGGTCAGTTGAACGGTCTCGGGTCTCTGGCCGGCGTTGGTTTGAACCTTCCGTTGAACCTCCAAGAGTGCGAAGTCGAGAACAACGAGCTGGACCAGTATCTTCGGCCTCAAGTGCCGTCGGTGCACGTAGCCGCGCCGACGACTACCTCCTCTCAATGGATATTCAACAGGTAACGGATTCTACGCGATCTACGAGCTCATTCCTCGCAGATAAATTAGTGTGAACGTGGTTTTTTAATAAATATATAAATATATAAATATATATATAGATTTTTTACCCTAGATTAATTTTTAATTTATTTAAATTAAAATTAAATTATTTAAAAAAATTATTAAATTTAATTTACTATTAATTTGCACGACGATTTAATTTTCACACATTCTCTTAAAAATGGGAGACACGCGCTGAAACTTTTATCATCATTGCGCGTGGAAAGATTATCAAAAGACTTCAATCGATGTTTCAGATACGAGGAAGAGATGGAGAGACCGAACAAACGACACTGCTCCGAACAGCCGATGGCTGCCGAGACGTCTTGGGAAGACAGAGCGCAGACGGACATTGTCAGATACCACGAGCTTCAACCGCCACTTCCTCCTATGCAATACATATCCTCTTCCCACAATCCACATTACTCGCACACGAGCACGCAGATGAGCCATCCGCACGTGTCTACGTCCTACGCGCAGTACCAACGTTACGTACCTGGTATCGAACCTTGGTCCCATTACATGTAGGAGTGAAGAGAATCGTTCAAAGACACGGCGCACGTCGTCGATTGACTCGACGTTGAAATTTTTCCAGAGGGAGGGGGTCCTCTCTGTGGAGACTTGAATGGTAAATCGTGTCCTCCCTCCCCCATCCATTTACGAACTAACTGTATCATTAAGTCAAGATTAAAAATTTTATTGCTGACTACTTCGAGCGTGTCTCTGTAAGTATACAGCGTGTTGTATGTTTGTTTCTCGCGTTACGTACGACTACGTATCGTTACATATCTATTGTGTGCGCGCAGTACACCGCGTCTGCTCAGAAATATAAAATTTTTTAATTCCCTCGTAGAGGGCGAGATACTCCCATGCTGCGCAGCGTGACAAAATCTGGCCGCGGTGCCATTGCTAATTTATTATTACATTGTTACGTGAAGAACCATTCCGCACTTCCAGTGAGTATGCTCTTTGAACTTCAACTTTTCAACACAACAGAGAATGTTTCGCTCCTTACTCGTATTAACCCTTGACAATTATTCGTCAAAATGTCGGTGATATTTCAGATGTTCAATCCATAAATTAAACGATCACTAGAAAATTACAAAAATTGCTTGCAACTGTGAGTTTCTATTCGTTTTGTCTGCTGGCGAGTCTGGCGAATCGTATCGTTACAGGACTGGGAGTGAAAGTTTCATTCACGACAGGATTGAATTCACAGCTAGACAACGAGCAACTTTTCCAAATAATCTGTGAGACGCGTTGTACTGCGTTTGTATGCGTGTGCACAGATCGTGCGTTGCATTAGATCGTGGGCGTGAGATCGAATCGATCGGAAGTACATATTCCGCGTTTCGTGTTGAACGCGCGTCGCGCTCTGCGATCGTCGGACGTGTGTGGATAAAAGAACGTGGAGATGTTACGGCGCGCACGGCCCCACGATCTTACTCCATGACATCATTCCATGACAGTCGGCCATTCCAAAGCGCAGAATTTCAGGCTAAACAAACAGGCTTGCTCGATACGGTGCCCTGCCGCGTGATCTAAATATAATAATAATATATAAGGCTGGAAGTGTAAACCGGCCGCTGCGCTGCCGAGAGCGATTCGGTTGTGTATCAGAGTTGCCACGCTCTTCAAATAAACCTGCGAAATTCGATCGGTTGTAAGTCGAATCGCGAATGCCACGCGACGTGGTTGTGATCCACGTGAACGTGTTTTCTCGGCGAATTTCGAGTTCGAAGACGCGACGGACAGCTGGCCGACCACTCCTTGTAGAAAAGCTAGACACCGCCCCGTCTTTAGTTCAAATGACCATTTCTATCTACCATTTCGAAGTTTTATCATTCTCCTTTTTTTCTTTTTTTTTTTCTTTTTCTTTTGACTCGGAATCTTTGTTTTTCCTTCGTTCGGTTAAAAATATTTCATGCTCGCTGTATATTTCGTAACAGTCTGTTCTACAGAAGTGTACAGACAGATAATGTATTGTTAATGTAGCAAATTAATTATACGCTTCAGATAGAACAGAGACAGAGGCGTGGTAGCGATAAAGTATTGGAGCACTTGTGAGAACTTGAGCAAGCATAAAAAATCGTAAACACCTTTTGGTACCGATCGATGTAACGTTCCCTATATACGTGTACAGAATTCAGATTAATTATCACGTTTCGTCTGAAAATTAGCAAGTGTCCTGACACTTCTAAACTGGTGGCAGTATCTACGTACTCCAATAAGTAAGTATCTACTACTGTACAGAGTTAGTGGATGATGTACGATACGTTATAAACTAGTAAAACCATCTAATTGTTTTTAGATCGCTGCAAAAAATATAGAACGATATTTCAAACGTTTCAACGTGTAATTTGGAAAATGTGAACAAGCGTTAGATAGAAAATTTTAACTAAGGATAGAGAGCGGCGGAGCGACGAGAAAATTTCTTTGGTGCTTTGATGGGTTCGTGTCGAGCGACGATCACGATGAAACACAGGGAACCGAAGCACGTGAAATCGCCGCGGTAATTAACGCAGGTATTAACACCGATAGCCGTGCTTTTGTACTTACATTTATTTGTTAGACGTACACACGTATGTATTTCTATCGCGCCGTCTATAAGAAGCGTGAAAAGCGTAGATCGTGTAGGAAACATTTGACGCGCGAGCGTTCGAGAAGTTAATTTATAAGTATATGACGGTATATTCTAAGGTTTGTCGGAATAAAGAAAAGAAAAGAAAAAAAAAAAAAAGAAGAAGAAGAAGAAGAGTTATACGAGTCGAGAGATAACGATTGATCGTTAACCCTTCCTTTTCGCGAGGCTATCATGGAGATTTTTCTGCGTGGTTAGAGATAAGGCCAAAGGATACGCGGTGATTTAATGAAATCAAATAAAAATTTTTATTCGCTAACTCGCATTCATTAATTCGATTGATATTAAGAAGTCTCGCGATGCGAACGAAGTGGGAACGCTGAGACCTAAGCCTGAGCCTGAGACTGACTCGTAGAGTTGTAAGTGGAGGAAGCAGAAGAGTGAAGAGAACAGGAATTTCTTTTCATAGTCGCGATATTAACAAATAATTAACAATCTCTGTGAACAAACACTAAAGCACTTCTCGCGAGCGTGAATCTTTCACGTATGCTCGTATTTAACTCTCTGTGATTGTTGCAGATTTGCAAGAGACTTGCAAAATTTCTGAATCTTTACAATAGTATACTAAAACTTTCCGAGTCTTTGCTATAGTACACATTCACATACAATCAGTTTGAAAGATAAACATTCACAACGGTGACATTTCGCTCGAAGGTGTGAAAAAGGCCCAAGTTCTACTTTGACGAATTTCGAAATCGATTCTCATTGGACCTTACCCTCTCGTTGCAATTGTTTCTTCATCCGACGTTGCAGATTATTTAGCCGCAATAAGGGAAGAGGTTTCTAGCTAGCCAAATCAAGTCGGCCGAGCGAGCCAGGTTGGTCGCTGATCGCGCGTTCAGCTGCAGTTTCACCGTATAAAACAAGCGAAAAAAGGCAAATATTTGAGCGGTTCGTTGAAGCGGGGGTTAGAGGGGCGAGGGAAATAGAAGAACCGCGAATGGACCGTTCTAAGTTTCCAAGAGCAAACAGTTGCCTTATCGCGCAACGAATATCCGTCAGACGGGCGAACGTGGGAATAGCCGCGTCGCGACTTTTACGCCACTTACCCGCGTCTCGAGATTAAACGGCTGGGAAGGCCCTCGTATGTTTTTCGTCCAACGCGTGACGCTCGGCCGTTTTTCGGTCGGAGGCGCCTTCGGATCGCCTTCGTTCCCTTCTTTACATACACTACCGACAGTTAATACTTTGATACCTGCAGTTTGTTGAGAAACGTTCCTCAACTCTTTCACACTTTGTCTCTCGTCGTTCAACTTCGGCTTTGGCCAACTTAATCCGAAACGAAGGACACAGCTGCATCGTTCTAGATAACTACATACGTGTCTATCTGACATGGATATTTACACAAATTTATATTTTTATTATATTAGAATGAATATGACACAATACAGTACTTTGATGTTAGAACGAATAATAAATATTAATACTAATATCTCAGTAGCAAACTAAATAAAAATATTTCCCGAAAATTTGCTCATTACATATCTTTATACGTTCATGAGAATGCACGTAGATGCAATCGATAGAATGCTCGTAACACGAAAAATATCTAAACTAAAAATCTTTCTGTCCGCTCTGTCTTACTTTTCAGTTGTATTCATAGAAATATGAATCTGCATAAATATCCACAGCCCATAAATCATCGTGCCTCAATCGAAATACCGTATTTATATCGTCGTCGTCTTCGATGCCGATCGTCGATCGTCGGCGTTAGCGATATCGCTACGCCGGGTGACGGTGAATTTTTTTTTTTCACCGTCGAGAGAAAAACGAGAGGATGAAAAACGTTGACGAGAGTCAGCGTTGCGCGCAGCTGTTTGCTTTTTTCGCGGTTGTCCGGCTGTCGGTCCACATATCTTTCTACATAGAAATGAATCTGCTCGTTCGACTCTTTGCGCTTCGAATCTTTGCATTTTTTTTTTGATCGGCCAGCAATCGAAGTTGTGAAATAAATTGCTAATGTCCTCGTAGCGGAGCAGCAAGTGTGAAGGGTTGAAGCGTTAACCTTCGGACCGGTGAAACGGAAGGTCAGATTTGATGTTCCCAAGTAAATTTTTTTTCCTTTTGCCGAACATTTTCATTTCTCAAGTTATGGAGGTTCTTTTTGTTTTGTTTTTTCTACGTACTGTATACAGCAAATTTTTTATATTAGATTCCTCTTTCATTGGATATTTCAGCTTTCAGCAAAGGAATATTTCTTTTATAATTATTTCACTCAAACGATCCTATCGCTATCTTTAACCACCGAGAGTTAAAAGATTTGTTCTCTCTCTCGATCCTCCAGAAATTTGGTAAAACCAAAGTACTTGTGTTAACCAAACGAGGATTCTTGACCCCGGAAGTGGAACGTGCTGTCGATCCATCGGCCACAATAGATTCCATTGAAGAAAGAGGCGCTCGCGGTTTATCTGTCGGCTCTCGATTTCGGAGCACACCTTTTATCGTTGACGAAGATTTCCAAGATTCTTCCGCGAACAGGAGAGAGAGAGAGAGAGAGAGAGAGAGAGAGAGAGAGAGAGAAAGAGAGAGAGAGAAATGTCGAAATCGTGGTCCGGATGCGAACCAAGAGGACGGACAAAGAGGCATTCAGTTATAAGTTATCGGGACGCTCGGCCGATATAATTAATTTACTCCGGAGTCGGTCTCCTCGCGCTAATCACCGGCACGCTTTTAATCTCGGAATCCATAAATATCACGATGCTGAAAGACTGGAGGGAATTCTCGCGAAAGCAGGAAGCAAACGCGCCTTTGGCCCGTTTTTCCACTGATGTTTCTTCGTCGGTTTTCTGACGGTCGAAATGCACGAGCATACACTCCGAGCATGAGAAATGATTATCGCAGAGGGTGTAGGGTTTACGTCGTTTACAAAATTCTAGAAACACGTAGGAATATCACACTTAATTAAAATTCAGATCGTTTTTTTCTTTTACGTAAATTCATATTTTACTTGACCATAAGTAGAAAGAGGAAATATGATGATCCGTTTCGTTTGCTAGAAATTACATGTACTTTATTTTGCATAGTTAAATAACTGTAGAGAGTCCAAGATGCTCCAAAGATCGTTTGAAGCTTCGAATTATTGAAAATCTTGGCGCGTGCCTTTGAAATATCGACGCATCTTCAGAGTGACGAAACTCTTTTGTATTATAAATCATACGGAATCAGTGAATATCCAAATTCATAACGAATAAATAATTACAGAAAAAAAGAAAAATACTCTCACGATCTCTACGAAGATTTATTTCAAACTTTATTTGCCAAATTTAGTTCTGGCGCTAGTGAAAATTCGAAACGTCTGTAATGATTGTTTCGACAAATGACTTTCCCAAGCCAGTGATCTTTTTCGAAAAAAAAGAGCCGGGGGACGCGTGTTCGGCGATCGGAGTACGTTGACATCCTCCTAGATTCAGTGTACGATGTAAATATTTGCCAGCAAGGGCAGATAGGATCGATAAATTTTTGGACAGTTCGAGCATTATTCGGTTCGAGCTCACAAAGAGTCGTAAATCCTTACGCAGCTGTTTCCCCCGATTCTCTCCCTATTATCGCCCGGTTATATTTTCCTTGCTATCCATTCATCGGAATCTCGACGCGAGCCACGCGAGACCCCGCGATACACGCGATACACACCAGAGATACGCGTCCGCTCTAATCTCGATATAATGCGCGCAACCCTTTGCCTCGTCTTCTCTCCTTCGCATCGTCCGTCGTCCCGTCTTTCTTCGAAATCCCGAGAATAAAATTGTTCCCTCCGCGTCCCCGTGACGGTTCGCTGACGGACAACGAAGGCATCGAGCTCCTTATCGCACTCGTGCAATCGTATCCCTAATTAGCGGAATAATTAACGTATTTGGAAGGCGGCTTAAGAACTCGTTTCTCTTTTTATTTTTATTTCGTCGTTTTTCTTTTGTCATTTGCTCATTCGTAACGTAATACCGTTCTTCTACGAGAAAAAGAATTTACGAAAGGTGACGCGGTCTGAGAGGAGAAGGTTAACTCGTCGAGGATCGGTTTGAAATTCTTCTCGATCGATTTATTATCTTTGTTTTTTTTTTTTTTTTTTTGATATTAGAATAATATTTAATTTTTCTTGAAAGAAAATTGTCAGACTTGACTATTTCGTCACTTTTACGCGTTTTATTTAGATCACGAAAATTTTCTAAAATTTCAATCGAAATAGGTATTTATGATATATGGCGATGAATTATTGCTTGGTCCTTATGCCTCGAGAAATATAGATTTGGTTACAAAGTTGTTTGATTTGCCAATGAAATTAAAAATTCGAAAATTCATCTTTAAATCGTATATTTCTAATGATACAATCAATTCGAATAATTTTAATTGATGAAAATCTACAAAGAAAAAAGGAAAGTAAAAATAAGCAACTAAATACATGCAAGTAACTCTGTACACTAAAGAGTCTAAATTCTTCGCGTAAGTTGTTAAAAATTCTACATAGAACGAGATATAATATATAGTTGAGCGTGTTTAATATGACGTTGTAAGACTGTAAAATTCTTTTTCCCTTCATTTAATCGCTTTGTCTGCGATTTCGCTTTGAGAACTCTCGTCTGCCACTGTCGAAGGACTCACGTGAAATCTAATCGAACGGAATAAGTACATATCATAGGTATCGCAAGGGGGGACAGCCACGTGTGAATTTCACCGAGGTTGGTTACCCATAATACCCATACATCGTTCCTCCGACAACTTGATGATCGGTGATTCTTCTTCAATAGCAAGTCAAACAGGATATCATCGGTTTATCGTTGCGTTACCATGGTAATTATGCGACAGAAATATCGATAAATCTTCTATCGTGCTGCGGTGCATTTGACGTGGTATTTTTTTCTAAAAGTATTCGAGCAGGATGAAAGATCTTTTGTGGAAATATGCGATATTTATTTAAACGCTTGCACGTGTTCGATCTTTGTATAGTAAGCGTACTGAGAACGGTATGAGATTTTTCTTTAACTCTTCGCATCGGAGAAGTATCTTAATGTTCCTTTTTATTAATTTGAAGATTAGATGATAAAACGGAGAGAAAATTTACTTTGTTCATTAGCTTTTTATCGGTAATATGCAAACATCAATGCACAAATACGTAATTTTCTTTTTGCAATATCATAAACTACGGAGATCAACTTTTCAGACATAGAGTACTTGTTTTAATTTTTATTTAAACAGAGATCTTTTCCTCATGATCATCGGTAGAAAGCGTGCCGCTTTGAAATTAACGTCATCTTTTGAGTAAGACGAACTTTCACTGAAAATTAACTTTCACTAAAATTTGTTAACAAAATATAAAACGTACGAAGGGATATGATATCATAGCCAAGAATATTCTCCTACGTTTAATTCATAAAATAATCGAATATACATGTAAATGTTATTACGTACAATTTATATTCAAATTACCAGTGTACTTTACGAGAAATTAAATTTTATTTCAGCGCAGTGTTTCGATCTATTCAACAAAATTTGAAAAATCTTTGTTCGTACACTTTGTGGGTTAAATGGAATACAGGAAGAACTCTGAGGGTCTAGAAATAAAGACAGAATCGCAAAAGTTCACGAATTAATCCTTCAAATTCATTTTTTTTGCAAATGAATATTTCTTCGATTTATGGACATTGAAATGCTAGCGCCGCGTAGCGGTAAGACGGTGGAATTAAATTTACTACGTTCACAAACGATATGGGATACGTGATATAAAATGCAGAATGTGGGATATAGATAAATATTTTCTAGATGAATAAAAGTATCATTATACTTTTTGCAACCAAGTTCCTGAATTACGTGAAAATTAATCGTGTCGCTTAAAGAGGGACAGTTGCACGGTGCAACAATTGTTGACAATTAATTACTGGAAGAGAAATTTTGGCGCAAAACTGCGCGTTAATATTCCATAGAGTTTTCACTTGAATATGCGATTCCCAAGGTGCATAAATTTAACCCAGGAAAAGAGTAATTAGTTAATTCAGAGAGAGATTCTACGCCCCCGTTTTATTTTTTTCTATCAATCAGGATCCATCCGCTAGATGGCAGCATCTTTTCGTTCAAAATTACGTAGTACATTTAGTTCCATCGTTTCGCCGCTACGCGACGCTAGCATTTCAGTGTCCATAAATTGAAGAAATTCTCATTTGCAGAAAAAAACGAATTTGAAGAGTTAATCTGCGAACTTTTGCGATCGTGTCCTTATTTTTAGACTTTCAGCGTTCTTTCTGTATCCTACTTAATCTACGAAACTTATCAATAAAGATTCACAAATCGTTCCCCAATAGATCGAAACACCCGCTAAAATTAAATTTCATTTCATGCAAACTGCGCTCGAATTTTGGATCGAAATTGTATCTTAACACAATTGGTAATGTGTAAAATTATATTTCCACGAAGTTTTGTGTTTATTTAATCAATCACAATTGTTAGCAACTGTTGCGCGGTCTATTATAGCACAGAAAATTCGAAAAATGGAGGAAAGGGGAATTCTTGGAAGAAAAACGTTAATTGATTGATTAGTAGGAAGATTTATAGTAAAGTAATCGTTATCAGACATTTGAACAGTTCTTTGAAATGCTATCGAATTCCTGATAGATTTACTGATTCCTAGAAACGACGTCGAATTTCTAGAAATTCGCAGATTTCGAGAAATGTACGTTACATTTTTAAAATTTTTACTATGAATTTTGTCTAAGTTTTTCTCCAAGATCTATGTGTAGAAAATTCGTACACGTCTTATTTTATTTTGGGAAAAAGGATCGGACGGAGATAGGTATAAGTTCATTCGTTTATTCAATTTTCCAAGATATACACATCAAATTATGTTACAGATAATAAATAAGGCTCATAATCATCGTATCATATATTACATTAAAATTGCATATACTTTGAAAAAAAACTAATTGCTATTCCCACAAGAAAATATTATCGGTGCAACGTAACGTTGCATAAAATTATTTATGAAAAAATTGCGAATTAATGGAATGACCAACGTTATCTCTAACGTCGATTGATTGGAGAAACTTCTTAAGTACCGTCGATCCTCCCATGATTTTCTCTCTGCTCATATTCATCTGTGACAGAAAGGAACGTGGCAATTAAATTAGATTAGATAACGAAAACGAGACATCAATTTTTCTTTTCCTTTTTAAGAAGAATCAAGGAGATTCGATCATTATTCTCGACATATGACAGAGTTAAACTTTCAGCTCTAATTAAATTTCCATATTTACGTTCTTTTAAATGCATTAAATTTAGAAAAGTTTGGATGCTTGCATCGATATTTTTCTAACTCTGCTTCTTCAAATTCACGCGTCAATTCTCGATAACTCTTTGCTTCTTCTGGAAATGTAATAGTACCTGTGTCAAGAAGGGAACAATTTAAAGAGATTAAAAGAAAAAAGAAAAAAGAAAAAACAAAAACGAAATATCGAGGACTTTTAAAAGAGGACCTGAAACTGGAGGAGTAGCCGTACGAAGCAGAGTCGTGTCGACCACTTAAGATTATTTTTACTGCAACTCGTAAAAATGAACTCTGAAAAAGACTGATTTACAGCACATACAAATAGATCTCGGTGGAGAAAGAAACCTAAATTCCATCACAACCTTCTCCGGTCGGTGAAAGTTGAAAATCAATACGTATTACACACCAGTCGTGTAGAGATTTTCCACGAAAAGTGTTCGAGTACTTTCGTGTGCCACAATGTGCGATTATATATCCGATCCGAAGTTTCTTATCTGAGATATGTGCCAAGCGCGAGGCGTTAAGCGAAAATACGAACGAATGGAATGAGCTGCAAGCTGGTCGAGGGCTGTTTCCCCTTTTCCGACGAGGCCAAGAAGGAATATAACAGTTCGCCGATGCCTGTTGCCTGTTAATTGCTAGCGGCGGCTCATGATAATTGGCATTTGGCAGAGAGTGATTCGAGATACGAGACAGCCGCTAGCTTCTCGGAAAGAATCCCTGTCTGTTTGTACGTTTTTCGCGTTGAATTCGCGCTGCCGACGCGACGTTTAGTCCTCTCTCGTCCAACGTCCGATCATAGATATACCGTTCAGAGACCCTTCGTCGTCCTCCTCCTTAGGTCGGTCGGTGTCTTTCTTCGTTCCCAAGGCCTTCATATTCTTTATCTTCCCTTCCCCTTATCTTTTGCTTTTGTTTCTTGTACGGAGGTTGACTTATTTATCAAAGCGACTCGGACCAAATTGCGAGTAAGACGATAGACAAGGTATTAATCGAGACTCTCGAGAGGAGTCAAGCTTTTTCTTGTGTTTCAAATTTCATTGCCCAGATGCTTATGTAATTAATCGTTGCACGATAGTCACGACAGAGGCAATTTGAGTATAGAAAAGAAAATTACTGGAAATATTAATAGTACATTCGTATATTCGATAAAAGAAAAATCTAACACGAAAATTTGTTTTCAGGGCACGTGGAAAGGGAAATACTGGACGAAGTTTGACTTGATCATCGCTGTGCTTATAATACAAGCTGATGTGAAGCTATCTCGTTCGTGAGGGTTAATAAACCAAAGGATTTATTTTCAGAAATGTATTTATTGCAAGAAGACAGCATAATCGTACGTAAGTGATTACGAGCACAGCTTTGCATAGAAGCTTCTTTTTTTATATGGTAAAATAAAAAAGAATCGTATACTAAAAAGAAAGTCATGAACACGATTGTTTATGATTCTAGAATCGATGAGAAATTGTCAGTTTTCTATTGTGAATTACGATGAAAAAAAAAGAAAAGAAAAAAGAAGAAGAAGAAACTCACGACGATAGCTGTGGAACGATAAACTGTTCGATCGGTGCCGACTGAGACTAATTACTACTCTGATTGTAACGTCTTCGGCCATTATCGTAATTTATAACGCGGGATCATTTGTTCGCGCGGTCCATCATTCGATGCAGTATGTGAATGCACACCATCGACAAAGAGATATCGAGGTAAAGAGAACGAACTACTTTTTAAAGCAAAGGGATTAGGTCAGTTTTAATTTTTACAAATCCTCCCACTCCCCGCTAAAATACAATATAATTCAATATAATTCTAATAAAAATACAAAGATACATAAATGAACCGAGAAAATTCAGACGAATCAACTCGTCTTTGATTGATATTGCTTCGTGATTAGAATCCTCCGATGTCTCTGAATATCCCGAAAAATAAAATGACGTTGAAAGTCGCCGACTTTCGTCGTCTTAATTCGATGACCAGGGAGGCCTGTAAAAGGCGGTGAATCGAGGCAACCGGCTCGAAGAAGGATCGAAGAAGGGTGGCGCACGTGCGTAACGCGCGACACACGCTCCTCGATCCTCTGGACTCCGGGCACTGTGTCTCGTTCTTTCGTGGCGCGGATGTGCGCACCATCGCACACGCGATTCGCTCAACTTGCCGAAGAAGGCCTTTTCTCGATCCCGGCCGCTGTTCGAGCCGCTGTTGTATCTCGGGGGCCGGCGCGGCGTCGTTGGTCGTCCCGCGAGGCCGCGAGGCACGAGCAACGGGCCCGAGCTTTTATCACAGCCGAATCGCCGCTGGCCACATGTGCAACACCGAGCAAAAACTTCCTCCTACGGTTCCTTTTCTTCTTCTCCTTCTTCTTCTTCTTCGTCGTCATCGTTCCTCTCCCTTTCATCTCTCTTTCCGCTGGTCCACTCGTGGCCAAGTTCTCTTCGATCCGGTCGCACGCGGGTGGTCAGTTCGATGTATGTACATGTAGTACACGTACTTAGTGTAACTGTATCTCCGTAAACAAGTATTTAGACGCATTGAAATTATTGCAATACGAAATACAAGCACCACCCCTGGCAGCAAGTTCCCGATCAATCACAGACACTTGAACGTATTTAACGATATCTTTTATATTTTCACGGAGATACAATTTAAAAAAATTGAAGCTCGGTATTGCCTTACTAATTTAAAACCGATTTAACGAAAGATGGCTATCAATGCAAACAGTTCGAGTTCATTTTCAAGTATCGAAGATATCGACGATCGGAATATATGAGAGCAAACGAAATTAATCAGATTTCGGAGCATCAACCCGTCGAGATCGTGGAAAGCTTTGGAGTCTGTTACAAGTGGGCGCAAGAATTTACGAGTTTTCCAGAAAATCGCGGTTCGACGTTTTTACGACATCGTTTAACGTTCACGCTCGTAAAAATCTCGCTTGAAACCGATAACAGCCACAGCTTCGATCGGACGAGTGGTCGTTTTTAAATAGCATTTCCGCTGCTTTCCATTTATTTTTCTTTCTTCCTTCTCGAGCTGATTTCCTTCTCACGGAAAATGCCCCTCGTTGACTGATTTTATTAAATGGGTGCGAAGGTTCTCTCGACAAAAGTTTACGCAATAGAAATATAATAAATTATGCTGTTTCTTTTTTTTTTTATATCATAAATAATTATCATTTGCATGAATCTGAATGGGAAATGCAGGAGTAGAAAGAAATTTCTATTTAGACATTGACTTATTTTCACCCATGTTTCTACACATGTCTTTTATTTGTAGAGGAGTACAATTCTAGCAATCCATAGCACTAAGAACCGATAGAACTTTTGTAATTCGCCCAATACCACCGAATAAATTTCAGAAGAAGCATTGAACTTCAGAAGATCCACAAAGCTTCGTCGAGTTTTATTATTTAATATCAAATTACTCACCGATAGAATTTACGATCGAAAAATGGTAGTGGCTCGAGGTGGACGAGGCGTTGTGGGTCACCGCAACTGCTCGTAAAAGAGCAGCGGACTTGTTTCGTCTAATAGCTGAAAACATTGTCGGGTCGTAAGCTGCCACCGTCTTTACACTCTCCTCGATAAATTTTCTCGCAGTCCTGTCAAAACTAACGCCAGACCCTGCCGAAAGAGGAATGAGGAAGGGGAATAAATCTCGCGTGATTTTCGTGGTCGTCGAAACACGGCCAGCCGAAACACCGAGTCGAAACACGAGAACAATTTGGGCCCGTCGCGTGGCCCAATTTGCCAAGGATTTCTTTTACGAGCCACTTCGTAAAGGTTGCTCGAAAGAAATCAGGGAGAAAACGGCGAAGCTCGTTCCTTCTCGCGGATGCACTTATGTACGTACGTTCTCCAGTCCTAGACTATGTCGAAGGACAACGATGCACCGATGATCCACGATGAACCTGAAAAAAATATCTTGAAAAAACAGAGAGAGAACTCTGGTTGGCTTCGAGAAGCTTTCATTTATATACCGTAGGTTTAATAAACTAGAAATCACGTTTCTGAACGTGTACACGTCTTTTTAGTATAGTCTTTAGCACGCTAAATCTATTAATTTAGAAAATCTTCGAATATTATATATTTTTATGCGATCAAATTGTAACACATTTTTATTTGCGATTAACTAGCGTTAAAACGGACGTGAACACGCGTGTTAAAAATTACACGAATTTAGATCCACGATGTATATTTCGTGGTACATCACCTTGCAGGCAAATTCGCTCTTGAAGGTCTCTAAAGTGGAGAAGCAAAAGGGGTTAGAATCGGCTGGTGGTCGAGCTGGAGGACACTCTTGGTCGGGTTTCCTCGAGCTGTCAAGAATGTGACGTGCCAAGAGGGCCCCGACCGGCGTGGATGACTGTTACGAGAAGGATATCGTCTAGAATCTAGAGTTTCTCCTCTTCTCCTGTCTGGCTGCGTTCTCTCAAAATTCCGTGGCCTGCTGCCTCGAACAGCGTTTGGTTTTTCTTACGTTCGGTTCGTTTGACACTTGATAGCGCTCGAGCATGCATACACGGTTGCCCCTGGTTGCAATAGCACCACCACGCGTTCCGTGCTCGCGCGGGATAGCCTCCTCGCGAGCCATCTTCTTTTCGCTTCTTCTGCCTTCCATTCCTTCTTTCTTCGTGCTTCCGCTTCTCTAGCTCCTTCCAGCCAGCCCTCCGAGCGAGAAGTCGGTTTCTTGCCGGTCGCTCCTCTTCGCCCGATAGCATCTTTCTCGTTTGATAAATCGCTACCGGAAATTCCGACAAAAAACCACGTTGCTCGTTCGTGCTCTAGATACTCGATTGACGGCCAGCAGCCTGCATCCGCTTGTTTTCCCGAGCGAGTGCCACGACAAACGTCGGGCCTAATTTTTCGTCGATTTAAATATCCCAACGAATGACATGACGAGATAAATTTTGGTGGGATACTTCATCAATGAAGGAGTACAACGATTTAAAACAGCGATTGACGGAAATTGGGATGACGAAAAATTCATTATATATTTGATTATTTACATCTGTTTAAAAGTATTAGAAAAAATTGATCGAAATATATTGTTTAACAACATAATATATGTGAAAATAAATATCTTTGAACAAAAGAAACTCAAGATAGTTAAAGTGGGGACTTCACTCTTTAAAATAATATCAAGTTAATTGTTCTACAATTTTTTTTTCACAAAATTATAACAGTTTAAAGTATTGACAATTTTTCATCTAGTGTTCTTTTCAAAGAATTCCTCACGAATTTTGTATATTTGATTTAGACTAGAATTTTATATTTTTTATTCCCAGTTAACATTTTGTGCGAAATGCGCGCGTATTGGGTTTAAATTAATTAAAGATTGCAGCGCCAATGTGCGGTGAAATGCGGAATACACTTCCTGCGATTCTCGAACGTAATCGATATTTCTCACGATCGATCTTTAACTGGAAATTGGCGGTTAAAAATGGCGGAGAGTAGCATACGTCACCTGTAAAGAAGGAAGTATTGTCCAGAAAAATCATCCTGGAAGTGTCACCCAGAAGTTCTTAGGTAAAAATTTAAATCAATACTTGTTAAATTTCTACTTGTGTTATTAATTTTTAATATAAAACGTGCATTTGCGGCTTCAACTCAAGGTACGATTTAACCAAATAATTATTACACATAATTTTCAATAATTAAAGAAATAATAGCATATAAACATTTAAACAGAACATATTGTGATAAAAGTTATTTATAATTTTATATTAAAATTCAAATCTAACCAGCAAATATTGTGACCTTGTAATATGATTAGCTTTTTATATATATACGTATATATATGCTTTTATTTCTATTGTAACCAGCAAATATTGTGACCTTGTGCCTTGCTTTTATTTCTATTTTAATCAGCAAATACCTTGCTTTTATTTCCAATACCTTGCTTTTATTTCTATTCTAACCAATACCTTGCTTCCAATACCTTGCTTTTATTTCTATTTTAACCAATACCTTGCTTCCAATACCTTGCTTTTATTTCTATTCTAACCAGCAAATATTGTGACTTTGTAATATGATTAGCTTTTTATATATACGTATATATAATATGCTTTTATTTCTATTGTAACATTTTCTATTCATTTGTTAATTCTTTAACCTCACATTGCGTAATTATTAACAATTCCAATAATAAATTCAATAATTTAGTAAGGATGTACCTATTTATTAACCTAAATAACCTATGTACTAACGTAAATAATAGTTCTATTGCGTATTATAATAAAATTTCTCATGTCCCAGTTTAAAGTATTGGCAATTTTTCATCAGGTGTGTGAATATTTTCGTTCTTTTGAAAGAATTTCTTATGAATTTTAAGTATTTCATTTAGATCAGAGTTTTTTATTTTTTATTTCAAGTTATCATTTCGTGTGAAACGAGCGATTACAACGCCCCAACGGTGAAATACGCAATATGATTCCTACGCAATACTTCCTATGATTCTCGAAATAATCGATATGTCTCATGATCGATCTTTAACTGGAAATTGGCGGTTAAAAATGGCGGAGAGTAGCACACGTCACCTGCAAAGAAGGAAGTATTGTCCAGAAAAATCATCCTGAAAGTGTCACCCAGAAGTTCTTAGGTAAAAATTTAAATCAATAGTTGTTAGCTTTGTGTTTCTGTTATCAATTTTTAATATAATATGTTGATTTTTACATTTTTCAATTCAAGGTAAGGTTTAACCAATAATTATTACATATAATTTTCAACAGTTAAAGAAATAATAGCATATAAACATTTCATATCATGTTAAAATTATTTATAATTTTATATCAAAATTTAATTTCAATTCTAATCAGTACAAATATTTTCACTTGTAATTGACTAACTCGTTGTACATATATATATATATATACACACACATATTTTATTGTATGCTTTTACACATACACTTCCATTACAACATTTTTTATTTATTTGCTAATTCTTTAACTTCATTCTTTAGTTCAACATAAACACAACGTTTTTGTGTGTGTATAAAGTTCTTTATATTGCACCTGTCCCTTTGGCATAACAAATAAACACTTTCGACTGAACATGACGTCGCAAAAAGTAAACACAATGTATATATTCGTCGTAATTATCGTGCCTGTTCGGACAGGATCGCCCCATCCCCTACTATTTTCCTAACTGCGAGACGAGACATGTCGCGGTCATTCGGTCGTCGAATTTCGTGACAACAATACGTATTACGTTGCATTAGGCTCGCAATTTCTAACCTATCGTTGGCGTCTCTTCGATGGCGTCGCTTTTTCGACACTCTTTTGCTTCCATTTATATCTCATTAATAATATCATTTAATTAATACGCGTGTGTTTAACGATTCGATGAGCATTACGATAACAATAATCGT